AGTAGAGTGCGTGCGTGTGTGTGTGTGTGTGTGTGTGTTAACTGAGAAAAATGATATTTCTAAACTTTTCTAGACTCTAGCGTCATGCTGCGATATTGTGAAGACTGTGGCCTCTCTTTTGAGTTCGCAAGGTGTGTGTGTGTGTGTGTGTGTGTGGATCTCAATAAAACAAAGAGCCGCCGGATCCTCTCCCCAGTTTCCGGATCAATCTGTCTCCCAGCATGCATCGCACGCCTGACCTCAAAGCTAAACACAAGGCCTGCACTATAAAGCAGCACACACCAGGGTGTTCGGCCTTGAAGTTGCACTCAGCATCAAATAACGGGATTATTGTATTACAGTGTGTGAAGGTGTGTGAGTGTGTGGGTGCATGTTGGAGAGGGAGTACATTGTTGTTGAGCATGCGTATCTTTAGTAGTTTCGCCGTGTATTTACCTGTAGGCTTTTTCTCCGGGATGAGAGCGAGACAGCTCAAGAACGACAACTCAGCCTGCCGTCTTTCCTCTTTGTTCACCGCTCCTCTATCTCTCTCTCTCTCTCTCTCTCTCTCTCTCTCTCTCTCTCTCTCCCTCCCTCCATCTTCTTCTCCTCTCTTGTTCTTTTGCCCTCTTGCTCCGTCCGGGGAGTCATTATTGCTTTGGTGAATATTTCATGGCGCTCAATACATCTGAACACAGACACCTGCCAACCTCTCTTATGTGCACACAAACACACACACACACACACACACACACACACACACACACACACACAACAGATCATAGATCAAAATAGCACTCTCCTGCAGCTGTGCCTGGCGTTCCACTCTCTCTGTGTCTCTCTCGTTCTCTTTCTGGTTTTTTTTTCTCTCCCTCTCTCTCACACACACCTATACACCACGTACAGTCATAATACGCCACTTGACAGACGTCTTTTTATGAACTGATGGAGATCTTTTCTCTGTTGTTCTCTCTGTGGCCACTTCCTTTAGCTTTGCTCTGAGCTTTTTCCTACCGATTCCTTAGATGAAAAGGAAGCTTCACAGGCTGCCAGGGTTCTTGTGAGTGTGTGCGTGTGTGTGTGTGTGTGCGTGTGTGTGTGTGTGTGTGTGTGTGTGTGTTAGTGTGAGATAGACACCAACTGTGAATACTAACCTGCTTCTTGCCTCCATTTCTGACCTTGAAAACACCTCTGTTCTCTCTCTCTCTCTCTCTCTTCTCTCTTTTTTTTTTTTTTTTTTTTTTTTTTTTTTTTTTTTCTCATGATATTAGATCTCTGAGTGAGTGAGTGAGTTGTGTGAGTGTGTGTGTGTGTGTGTGTGTGTGTGTGTGTGTGTGTGTGTGTGTGTGTGTGTGTGTGTGTGTGTGTGCAAGTTCTCATACATAAGTCAGCACACTCTGGTCATCTCCAGGTCTGGCTGTCAAGTCTGTTGATGTTTTCTGTGTCTATTTGAAGTGCGGCTTTTTTCGCTTCTCCTTCATCGGCGTGCATTCAGAGCTTCAGAGCCGTGAAAAGCTTTCTTCTTCTTCTTCTTCTTCTTCTTCTTCTTCTTCTTCTTCTTCTTCTTCGTCGTCGTCTTGCTTCACAGCTACAAACACTCACAGTAGTGAGTACCTACTCTTAACCCTTAGAGGATTATTTTACAGAACACAATTTAAAACCGGGAGAATATAGTCTTTCCGATGATAGCAGAGGTGTACATATACGACGGAATCTCCTCTGGGTGAATTCTGTCACCTTATATTTCACCTGTAATGGAGTAAAAGAACCAAATCAAGTTTTTGTTTTCACCGTCAGTGTTCCAGCACGTCTTACTTCCAGTCACAGGCATTTCCGAAGAGAATAGTGACATCACCAGTGTTAGATTTGTCGAAAGCTGGAAAGTGTTACAGCTGAAATACCCTCATAATCCTCCATATTTGCATTACTCATATTTATTTACCATTTTTTCCAGCTATAATTTTGTCAAGAGTTTCGTTTAGACGGATATCCGGTTTCTCGCGAAAGGCAGTCGGAAAGAATAACCGTTCCAGGGTGCTTGTGTAAAAAAGAAATAAATGCACAAATTCTAATGAATTCTAATGATTTTTTGGATTTTGCCATGCTTTGTGTCACTCTACATCAATCATTAAAGATATTCATACCGATATGGGTGACACTTTACAATAACAGCCCATGAATAATCCTGCACGAATACCTGAATTAATACTTACTTAAATACGAGTGAATGATGAGTTAAGGCACGTACTAATCACAAACTAATGAAGATCTAACCTTAACTTCGACGTGAATCCGTGCGTGAATAACGACCACCTTAAATACCTTAATGTCAATTATGGGAGTAATCCAACGCCATCCAGTATGTTTGTGTACACAGCTGCATACGGTAGATGTTATAGGCAATTTGAAATGATGCACGTTTCATTCATATTCTTTCGTATAGAGTATGTTTGATTTAGTTCAAAACGTCAATGTTAATTAACACAGCACATTACCTAACAAACATGTCCTAACGAGCTTAAGGTGGTCGTCGTTAAGGTTAGCTCTTCATTAGTCCGTGATTAGTACATGCCCTAACTCGTCATTTGTTCATATTTAAGAACGTATTAATTCAGGGATTAGTTCATGGTTATTCATGTGCTGTTATTGTAAAGTGCTCCATTTACATGTTAGTCTCTTTAAGAAAACCAGTGTCCAAACTACTCTAGTGTCTCCGTATGCTTAAGCCCAAATTCTGACTAACCTCACGTTATTCATTTCTGCTTATTTTCACAACGGGTGCCAATAATTCCAGGCGTTAAATATACCGTGTATATATATATAATACCAGCGCTGAGCATTCCACACCCATACATGCATACAAACAAGTTGAAAAACTGGAACAAATGTTTTGGAGAAGTTCCCTGGCTGAAACAGTAGTGGGTTTTATTTCTCACTGACCCGTCGGGAGTGTGATCACTCAGCTACCGACTGACAGAGCGAGAGAGGAGAAACGGAGCGGGAAAGACGTAAAGTAATATGTTTTATTCCATCCTGCGGCTTCTGGCGATTACAGGAATAAAAGTCGGTCCTGTTTAGTATGAGTGAGCTGCTGAGAGGTGTTGATGGAGAGGGAAGGGGAGAGAGGAAGTAGAGAGAGAGAGAGAGAGAGAGAGCGCAGAATGAGTTTGGATTAAGGCGGCTAAGGCAGTAATCTGGGCTGAACAGAGGGACGAGGGAGAGGGAAGAGTGTATCTGTCTTTAGGCAGAGAGTTACAGAAGGTCATGGGCATCTCTTAGACCTGCGTGTATGTGTGTGTGTGCGTGTGTGTGTGTGTGAGAGAGAGAGAGATAGCGAGAGAACTCCTGTAGGTTGGTCATCAAAAGGAAGTGAGATTATATAAGGAGTGATGTGAGACGGAGGATTTTCTGGTTTCTGTGTGTGTGAGTGTGTGATCCGTGGATAAATGCAGTTGAACCGAACACCTTGCCCTTCGCAGAGGTCAGCTCTACTCTCGGCGCACAGTTGCCTTCAACCTGCTGCTTTCCCTCGGCTGTGAGAGAAGAGCATTCTGATGTGTGTCTGTGTGTGTGTGTGTGAGAGAGAGAGAGAGAGAGAGAGAGAGAGAGTAAATCTCTGAGTAATAACTTTATTGATTTGAATTCTACTTTATCCGTTCAGCTGCGCTTTCATGCTGACAGACAGGGCCTAAGTGAGTAAACCTGCTTATACAACTAGAGTCTGAGAAAGATCACACCTTCGGAGTCTTCCATCGTAGCCGTGTGTTTTCCTCAGGAGCCGACGTGTGGGTGTTTTGGGCTAATCACCGAGCAAGTGGACAAACAGGGTTGAAGTAAGCGCTAGAGTAGAACAGAGTTGAAAAGAGTTTTAACTGCGAAATAGGTTCAAGGGGTTAAGTATGCCGGACGAAGCGAGCTAATGTTAAAGCTACAATGTCTCCATGAATTATTTTGGAGACATCAAAAACGTAAAGGTAGAATGACCGACAACAGGATCACATTGCATGGAATATCAACAATGACCTCAGATATGTTTGTAAATCTATTTAAAAAAAAAAAAATGAAATTACTCTTAGCATCAACTGCCGTCCAAATTGAACCGTCTCTGCCGTATCGACAAACATCAACTTTCAGTCATGAGCGTGGAGCTGTCAGAAATTTGTGAAAGAGCATTAACGAAGCGTGTAGTATTATTTCGTTGCTAGCTAGTTGACTAGCATTAGCCTTTATTTTCCTCAGGTTCATGAGTCCTCCTTGTTTTAAAGTTTACCAATACAGATTTGAACTAAAGAGCTCTTAACTGCTCAATAGGTTGTAGTGAAGATTCAATTATTGAGAAAACTGTACAGACGTTCCCGTCAAAAAATCAGAGTTCATCAAAATGAGCCGACAATATGCTTCCTGATTAACAAAAGCCTAGCGTATGAATGAGGTAAATGATTTAGCTAGCTAGCATGTTGAGCGTGTTATAAGAATAATGTCAACATAGGATGACTGGAAGCAAGTTAAAACTGACAGGAATGGCATTATCTACTTCAGATGTTTTTGTAAATCTCTTAAAAGGACTCTATGACTAAAATGACACTAAAATTCCCTTTAATGCTCATCTTTAACGGACTCCGCCATTTGAAAAGCAACAACGCTCGGTCGTAAACTCAAATGTTTTTTGACTCTTGTCTCATTTTGTCTGTGAAAGAACGTTAATGCAATGCTAATTCTGTCCTTGCTAGCCATCCATCCATCCATCCATCTTCTACCGCTTACCCTTTTCAGGGTCATGGGGAACCTGGAGTCTATCCCAGGGAGCATCGGGCACAAGGCGGGGTACACCCTGGACAGGGTGTCAGTCCATCACAGGGCATAATCACATACACACTCACACACCCATTCATACACTACGGACACTTTAGACACGCCAATCAGACTACCATGCATGTCTTTGGACTGGGGGAAGAAACCGGAGTACCCGGAGGAAACCCCTGCAGCACGGGGAGAACATGCAAACTCCGCACACACGTGGGTGGCCCCGGCGGGAATCGAACCCTTGGAGGTGTGAGGCGAACGTGCTAACCACTATGCCACCGTGCCGCCCCTTGCTAGCTAGTTGACTAATATTAGCATTACTCAACCTTATATGGTTATTATTTGTGATAGCTTGTACCTAAAATACTGTACCTTTTATTATTATTATTATTATTATTATTATTTTATTATTATTATTATTATTATTATTATTATTATTATATGGCTAACAGATGTAGTGTTTTTATATGGTCATATTACTGTTTTATATGGCTAATGAGCATATTGTTTTTAACTTACAAAAAATGTAGCACCCTGCTAGCCATCTCTGCATATGATGTATGTAGTATTACATGCAGGAAGCTCCTGGTTTGTGTGTGGGTATGTGTGGGTGTGTGGTTATTTCCTGTGCACCTATCTCTTTCCAGACAGAAGGAGCAAAGGAGGATGGAGAAAAGGACTCTTAAGTAGGAGAGGGCAGGAAAGAATCGCTGCTAGCCGTCACTTGGGATCGTGGTACTGACAGAATCCTCTTACAGCTACACCTATGCTAAACGTGGAAAGTACAATTGTGCTATATCGGGTATACAGAGACACAAAAAGTACACGTGCTTGCTAGGCCTTTCTCTCTCTCTCTCTCTCTCTCTCTCTCTCACACATACACACACTCTCTCGCTCTCTCTGTCTTCTCCCAGTCTTTCTGTCTCTGCATCTTCTTGTCACTCCAAAAGAGCAGAAAATTAGACTTTGAGAGATACCTTTTATGGATTGGTCTGCCCATGTAATATTGTTTCTGTATTGATTTTGATGAATATACTCTGCTGTAAGGGGGGGAAAAGAGGCTCTGGTTTGCTTCAAGAACTAATGTTCCAGGTTTAGGCCTTTTTTTCTCTAACATATCTTCCTTTTTAATAACAACCAGGAATAGGTGAAGATTGTTGTCGCAAGAACAAGGCATACCTATATCACATTGTGAAAGTTTTCCCAACAAATTGTCATTTGTGGACATTTTTCATGCGCCGAGATTAATCTAACACTATGTCATACTTTTTTACAGCCTGATTTCTACCCGTCTCGCTATCGGGGACTGACACTGGAGGGACGGTAAGTGGAAAACATGAGACGGAAGGTGTAAAACGTGAGATGAATGAGAGAAATAGACTTGCCTATATTGCCTATATGATATTGTCTATATTTAGAGTTGAGTAGAGACATAAAGATGGAGAATGGAGAAAGCGCCGGAATGGTGTAAATGTGATTGGAGAGAGAAGAAGAGCGATGGAGGGATGAAAATGTAAGCTGCAGCGGGGGAAGCAGGTGTCTGCGTTTACGAATGAAAATTCCTCTTAAAACTATTACATACTGTCCTGAATACATATTTCCTCTTCTCTTCTTCTCCTCCTCTCTTCTTCATTTCCTCCAGGTTTTAGTAGCTACGGTACTTCTATATGTAGCATAAAATATAATGGTGCATGCTGTTATAGGAAAATAATCAACATATACAAACTCTCTCTCTCTCTCTCTCTCTCTCTCTCTCTCTTTCTTTGGCCAGCTGTTTCTAGCAGATGTTAGCAGGCCCTGAATACAGTGAAACAGATTCTGACACTTGTATATTGTCAGTGTTGGTCCAGCTGAGGCCTGATTAGTTCAGAGACAGCATTAATATGAATGTTGTAGCATGGTGGAGGATGCCATGTTGCGTGTGGTGTGCAAATCTAGAAAAACACACTCATCTGCATACACACAGGCATTCTGTTCCGCCGTACGGTGTTATAAAACTACGAAGCAGAATCCCAGCTCTCGGCATGTTCATGTCGGCGTGACTAACCTCATTTTTCTCGCCCATAGACAAAGCACTAAAGGTGTATAAATTTCATTTCTTTATTTTGAATTTCACCTCGAGCGATTCAATAAATCGCGGCATGAAACGGGAATAAAGGGAAGGGGAGAATAAAAAAAAAGAAGAAGAAGAAGAAGAAGAAGAAAGAGAAAGTGAACGCTCGATGAGATTTCAGACGAATCTGATAAATTACTCCCTGAGCCAATAGACTCTAACTGGCTCTCCTGTTGCTATGCTGCCGAGTTTCGGGCGTTTTATCGCGTTAGTCGGTTCTGTCTCACTTCACACGAAGCCCTGGAGACCCTCGCTCTAAACCGCACTCCAGATTTCGCCAAAGCTTGCTGAATCGCTGTCACTGCACATCCACATTAAGCCCGATATTATATATACTATTCAAAAAGTACAAAACCAGCCGCATTAACTTTCTATCCTCACTCAGATCTGAGTCTGGTGAGAAATGAATTACAAAGGCAGTTGGTTTTTTTGACTTTTTTTTTTTTTTTGCTCCGCAAGGGGAAGACGAGAGAAGCGAGAGTCATGTCTTATTGAGACTTGGCTTCTTAATTTGATCTTTGTAAAACTAAGTTGCTTCAGGTATGCAGTACGAGGCAGCACAGATAGCCTGAGGGTGGAGAGAGACAGAGGAACCCTGGGAGAATTCCTCATCTCTGCCTCTCCCTCTCTCTTTCCCGTTCCCCCATCTGCACCTCCTCTGAAGTTGCCCTTGGTTCTACATGTGTAATGCTAATTATGAATGAGGGAGAGTTAGATCAGTACAAACCCATCAAACATTTTACAGCAGGCTGCTATTGTAATAAAGATCAATGAACACCATATCGGTACCCATCCTGAAAGGCTAGGGTGGGGTGCCGGGGATTGAGCAGACGCTTTTTTCTTTCATTTCCCGTGCTCCATCACGCTCTCTCATCATCAGTACCAGAGAGGAGCGGATCAGATTTAATTGCCGTTTGCCGTCGCTGTGATGTGATGTGTTGGGTGAAAAGAAAGTCAGCCGTCCTACAGCAGCCTACGACACGTTGACTGAGAGAAACATGGCCTGTGTATGTATGAATTTTTCACTGAATAGATAACGAACATCTGTCCTTGTGTGTCTAAAATACCCCCCGAGGTCATACTGACCACACCGCATTTTTACCGTAAGTCAGATCAAACTCTTTCTTTCGCTCTCCCCTTTTCATATATTAATATACCTCTGACACCTGAAGATAAGGATTCAGGAGTGTTGCTACACTACAAAGCTGTTGGTCATCTCCACACTTCTGGCTGCTCCTCCTCCCTTCTTTCAGCACACACCTTTATCTGTCCTCTCATTTTCCTTCTTCTGTGCTGCGCGTAACTCCCATGGGAGTCTGTATTCTCCAACATCTGAACGCAGCCCACACCTGCTACTCTTACTGCCAGGATTAACCCCAAATTAACCCCAGGCGTACAATGTGTCCCTATCACCATCACTCAAAGTTATTTCACAGATGATTAGCCAAAATAAAAATAAAAAACCCTATAAAAAAAATCTTCTGTTGTGTTCATATGTGCGATATTTGCTCTACTAAACGCATAGCATTCCCTTTAAAAATCAAAGTCAATGTCCACAACAGTGTCTTTGTGCTTTCACTAGGATTTCAAAGGCAGAAATAAATTCCTCCATGGTTATAATATTTTTTTATGTGATCCATTAAGATAATGGTTTAGCTTTAAAGTGAAGGCCAGATCTTTAAAAAAAAATAAGTTTACTGGTTTTCTAAACAAGAGCGGACTCTGGTGCAACGTCTTGTATTCAAGTGCTACACACACTAGGCTAAAGTAGTCATTTGTTTATATCCTGGGAAATAGAACCAACTAAGTTAATCATAAAATATCTCGGGTGGTACAGGTAAAAACAGGCGGGATTGGTCAGAATTCCTTCAGGAGCAAGCAGGATTGGTCAGAATTCCTTCAGGAGCACATGGGACTGGTCAGAATTCCTTCAGGAGCATATGGGACTGATCAGAATTCCTTCAAGAGCAGCGGGATTGATAAGAACATCTTTAGGAGCAGGCAGGATTGATCAGAACATCTTTAGGAGCAGGCTGGATTGGTCAGAATTCCTTCAGGAACATATGGGATTGGTCAGAATTCCTTCAAGAGCAGCGGGATTGGTCAGAACATCTTTAGGAGCAGGCAGGATTGGTCAGAATTCCTTTAGGAGCAGGCAGGATTGATCAGAATTCCTTTAGGAGCAGGCAGGATTGATCAGAATTCCTTTAGGAGCAGGCAGGATTGGTCAGAATTCCTTTAGGAGCAGGCAGGATTGGTCAGAATTCCTTTAGGAGCAGGCAGGATTGATCAGAATTCCTTTAGGAGCAGGCAGGATTGGTCAGAATTCCTTTAGGAGCAGGCAGGATTGGTCAGAATTCCTTTAGGAGCAGGCTGGATTGGTCAGAATTCCTTCAAGAGCAGCGGAATTGGTCAGAACATCTTTAGGAGCAGGCAGGATTAATCAGAATTCCTTTAGGAGCAGGCTGGATTGATCAGAATTCCTTTAGGAGCAGGCAGAATTGATCAGAATTCCTTCAGATTTCCTTCAAGGGCAGCTTGTGCCATTTGTATTATCTTTGAAATGATCAGGATAATCACTGTGTTCAAAAGTGTCAGGACCTGAACAGGCTCTGGAAACATAAAATGTCATTCAGATTCAGACTTTCTTTAGACGTGGCATGCTAATTCGTTAAATTGATATCATTTAGTCATTTAGTAATGCCATTCTGCAATGTTTTCTTCGTGCTGTGTATTTCTGAAAGGCAGCTGGATTTTAATCCAGCATGAGCTCTTACACGCTGTGAGTCTCTACATCAGCAGCCAAATTATGAATAATACACTTCACAGATGATTAAGCATAATTAACAAGCCAACACACTGAAATCTTAAGTACAGCATTCGTGTCTGTGTGATGCTTCTCCTCACTGCTCGGCAGTTTATTTGCTAAACTTGCTTCACTATTATTAAGGCTTTAGATATCACGGAGATCATATTTGGCATACATAATCTAACACTCTTCATCTATTTGCTTGAAAAGTCATGATCTTATCACGTTTTTATCAGGCGTCTAAACACTGGTAAGCAGGTGAGCATGTTCTGACTTAGCATAGGAAACGCACGCGGGCCTTCATTTAATGCAGCAATCGAAGCGTTTTGGCATTTCAACTTTAAAAGGCAAACATAATCTGTG